AAATATTACCAACAATACATTTTGGAAAATATTACCAACAATAAAAATTTTGTCGACATCAAATAACTCATTGAGGTTTATATGACATAAGACGAAACAAACCAAACTTAACCTGGATTAAATGAATCTATAATATATATATCGATTACAAGTATGTCATTTAACACGGGATATATCTTATAGGAATATATATATATATATATATATATATATATATATATATATATAAATATATATATATATATATATATGTATTTGTGTGTGTGTGAATTTAGGCTGCAAATTATATTTATAAAGATTATTTTGCAAATAAATTAGCGAACAGCACAATGCTTTCTATTTGGACAATTTTAGAAACCTGTCTGATAAAAAACATTATTACAAATATTACGTCTGCTTATTTTCCCAGCATAATCCGTTCACCTTTTCGTGAAAGCAAATATTTAATATCAAAACTATATATATATATATATATATATATATATAAATATTTAATATAAAGATTATTTTGCAAATAAATTAGCGAACAGCACAATGCTTTCTGAACATATTTGGACAATTAAAAACAGTAACCAAATCACCTCAAAAATAACATGACAAATAATGAAAACAGTATCAGCCAAAAACAATAAATCCAACAAATGTAAACTCTGTCTGGGGGAGACAATAGCTATAATTACCTTCCCAGACAAACTCCAATTACTAAACAAACGGTCAGAACTCATCTCATGCAGACACGAAAGCAAATATTTACTGATACATAAAAATCGAAAACTAAAAACGGATAAAAATAAAAAGAATAAATATATATAATAAATAAATAAGTAAAATAGTTTAATCCGAATCAATCGATAAAGTAAATGCGAAACAAATTAACAAACTGCGAACACACGCATAAACACAAGTAAGCGTAATAATAGCAGGCGATAAATATAATAAAATAATACATAAAAAATAATGAGTAAAAATGTTAACAACAAATTCCCACAAAACTGCATTCAGATCCACAATTATTTCCACTCGATAGACCTAAGAATAATTCGAAATATAACCGTTACCACCCACACAAGGATTCATTAAGATAATACAATAGACCTCGTAATAACTATGCACCATTAACCAGCATATATAATTAGTCGATCCAAAACACAACTCACATGGCCTGACAATCGCTTTTAAGCATGAAAAACACTGCCGCCACAGAGTATTGATGTCACTGTCTACTTTTATGTATATCTATCTATCTATCTATCTATCTATCTATCTATCTAACAAACAATATAATTTAACCCAAATAAATAACTAAACAAGCAATATAAATTTAACCCAAATAAATAAACAAACGACTTCCGGTAAAATAACCGCCATAATAATAGACTACCCACAATGCACCACTGACCCGTATATATATATATATAAATAATCCTACAGCCAAATCGAGAAATAACAGCAAAATTCAACTGACGGCCTGACGATTGCATATAGCATGAAACAGACTTTGTCGCCTTTTAGCTTCTCATGTATTAAAAACCCGTGTTGACTTGAAATAGATGTTTTTAATTTATTTGCAAAAAATTATTTTAGCTTCTATATATATATATATATAATATATATATATATATATATATATATATGTGTGTGTGTGTGTGTGTGTGTGTGTGTGTGGAAGTGTTGAATTTTGGGGTACTCTGGTGTACTAGTGAGCCAGCCAAAATGAGCTGACTCATTTTATAGTTCACCAATAGAAGTGTTAACCAATCAGAAGGCTCAAAATATTCAATGTGACGTGTATAAAGGCGGCCATGTTTTTTTTTTTTTTCCGAATATTCACTGCTAGCCTTTGATATCGAAGACTGAAGAATTACTGAACAGCTGCTGGTGGTATTGGCGATATAGTCAGATTCAGGAGAGTGTCTGACTCCTGAGTGTTAATCTTTAACGTTGTTTCATTGAACTGATTACGGACTGCGCTGTATTCTATATTCATAGACGTTTGTGAACATGGTCAACAGGAAGGTGTGTGTGTATAGAAATTCAGTTATAACCAAAAATTATATGTAAAAATGAGGCCATATGATTAAAGACAAAAGGAAAATTTATCCAACCAACACGTTTCGTCCTCTGATGTACTTTATCAACAAATATGTAAAGGATTTTATTTTTTTCAACAAGTATTTATACATAGAAGTAAAAATGTCTTTAATTTTTTAGAACTTTTAAATTAAGCATGCTCATAAAAATACTTCAGGATTGGGGAATGTCTAAGTAAATTATGGAAGATGCTAAGTGATGTAATTTAATGTCTAATAAACGAAAGTGAGTAAATATATTCTTTGAATTTTTTTTTAGAATGTTTTAGTTTGAGAAATTAAGTTATGGACAATATATTTTAAATAATATGAGGTTTTGAATTTAACCGTTTTATTTTAATACTTAAAATTTGCTGGTTGATATTTTGGTAATATAGGAAAACTGCATTCTCAGTATATATACAGGGTGAGTCAATTTAAGTTAACATTAGTATGAGAAGATGAGTCAAAACAATTCTTATTATGGGCATGATAAAAAATCGCGTGTATAGCCAAAAAAGTTAGGAACATCGAAGACTCAAGGACACAATGAAAGATGTAATATCAAACATTCCCCTTGAAATTCATGTCAAAGCACTTAATTGTACTGTTGATCGCTGGTTTTTGTGCATCAATCGTGCTGGTGGACAGGTGGAGACTGTTCAGTAAACTCTGAATAAATGATTCCTCCCATTGAGTCAACTGCTTCTTCCACCGCGAGGAAAGTTGGCTCTCTGTGCCACGCCAGGAAATTTTTCTCCCCGGAATCGATACTGCAAATATACAAAACAACCATTCGCCCTTGCATGGAGTATTGCTGCCATATATGGTCTGGAGCCTCTTCTGTTTACCTCGGAGTTCTTGACAAGATCCAGAGACGGATATGTAATATAATTGGCCCTGATCTGGCGTCTCGTCTACAGTCACTCTCTCACAGACGCGCCGTCGCATCTCTCTGTCTTTTCTACAAATACTTTCATGGTAATTGCTCCGATGAGCTGCTTTCACTGGTTCCCAGACTCCATGAATTCAAGCGCCCTACGAGGCTGGCATCCCGCTCCCACCCTTACACTATAGAAACTTTTAAATGTAGCCGTCTCTTTTACTCCAATAGCGTCATACCTCGCACCCCTCACCTATGGAACACCCTTCCTTATTACTGTTTCCCTGAGAGCTATAATCTCCAACTATTCAAATGTAATGTCAATCGACACCTCCAGTTACCTTGATCTATCCACTATCCTTCTCCTCATCCTTTCTTCTATCACTCCTATCTGCTCTCGCTCCAAATCTTCCGCAACCTCCTGCATCCTAGTGGTTTCACGCCTTGCTCGGGGCGTAATGCTTAAAAAAAAATACTAGTATTAACATAATTTTGACTCACCCTGTATATACAGGCTGCGATCGGTGAATTGCCGCCATTTTATATTTTTAATTTCGCGCATGCGCCTTGTTTAGTTTTGATTTTGTCGACTAAACAGTATAGTAGTGTCGGTTGGGTACATTCTGTGAGAAAACAGAGTATTATGACGCAATTAACACAGTAAAAAATTTGGAAACTCTATGCTGTACTACTTGGCATTCGCGCCGGAAGCTCCAATAGAAACATTTCAGAGTGTGTGGGTGTCAATCTGAGGAAATGCAGAGGATTTGGAAAGAGTTGAACGAGTTTAATGGTGATTACGAAGGTGTTTAGAGTGATCACTAGTGATGGCGACGTTATTCCTTTATTAATCATATCTCAGGGTCTCATTCATATCAGAAGGGGGGGACTACATTAAGTGCCTTGAGGTAGAAGTGCTACTCAGTGTCAAGAGGGTGGCTGCTAGAAGATCCTGTTTGGAAAGCAATTAGGGCAGGGAGAACTGAAAAAATATGTATAAATATAAGCCTTCGATGTTTCTGCTAGCATGAAGTTATAAGTCATCGTGACCGAGAGCTTGAGTGTATTGCTGTTGTTCCAACTGTCAGAAACTGTAACTAAGGTCCGTTCAGCAATGTTGCAGTATAAACCACGGCTTGGCTTTGGGGTTGTTGAACAAACATAGAATTACCTTTTGCAAAAGACTTCACAATCTCCATAGAGGCCATAGGTGCACAGAAAAAAAAATTGCATCTATCTATCTATCTATCTATCTATCTATCATCGTCTGTTCATTATCTATCTATCTATCTAAGTCTGTTCATATCTATCTATCTATCTATCTATCTATCTATCTCATGTTCATATCTCTATCTAGTCTGTTCATTATCTATCTATCTATCTATCTATCTATCTATCTATCTCATCCTATTCATCTATCTATCTATCTATCTATCTATCTATCTATCTATCTATCTCAATCTGTTCATATCTATCTATCTATAATCGTCTGTTCATTATCTATCTATCTATCTATCTATCTATCTATCTATCTATCTATCTATCTATCTATCTATCGTCTGTTCATTATCTATCTATCTATCTATCTATCTATCTATCTATCTATCTATCTATCTATCTATCGTATCTTCTTTATCTATCTATCTATCTATCTATCTATCTATCTATCTATCTCAGTCTGTTCATATCTATCTATCTCAGTCTGTTCATATCTATCTATCTATCTATCTGGCGCACATAATTATTAATTCCTGAAAAGAGAATGTAGTTATGGGACCTCGATTATCATAAACTCCTTCACACACTCATCACACACACACACACACACACACACACACACACACACACACACACATATATATATATATATATATATGTGTGTGTGTGGGGGGTGTGGTAAAAGTGAGTGTATCTATCTGTGTGTGTGTGTAACTGTGTTCGAATCTAGCAAAAATGGTTAAACGTGAAGATTCAATAATTGTTGAGACAGATTATAATTTCGGCGGGAATGAAACCCAGTTTCGTTTTGCATTAATGAAATTTCGGAAATGGTTAAAAGTTTTTGCATCTATCTATTGCAATCTGTTCATATCTATCTATTAAACCTGTTATTCTATCTATCTATCTATCTATCTATCTATCTATCTATCTATCTATCTATCTCAGTCTGTTCAATCTATCTATCTCAGTCTGTTCATTCTATCTATCTATCTATGCATTTAATTCCTGAAAAAGAGAATTCGGGAATTATCATAAACTCCTTCAACACACACACACAAAGTATATATATATATATATATATTGTGTGTGTGGGTGTGTGTATATATAAATGAGTGTATCTATCTGTTGTGTATGTGCAATCTGTTCATCTAGCGAAATGGTTAAACGCGAAGATTCAATAATTGTTGAGACAGATTATAATTTCAACCTTTCGTTTTTGCATTAATGAAATTTCGGAAAGTTCTTTTTGCATCTATCTATTGCAATCTGTTCATCTATCTATTACAACCTGTTATTCTATCTATCTATCTATCTATCTATCTATCTATCTATCTATCTATTACAACTTGTTTCTATCTATCTATCTATCTATCTATCTATCTATCTATCTATCTATCTATCTATCTATCTGGCCTCAGACTCAGCCACAGAGTCTTACATTAAGTACCTTGTGGAGGTAGTGCTGCTTTGGGTCAAGAGGGTGGCTGCTGGAAGACCCTATGTCTGGAAACAGGACTCTGCAACATGCCACATAAATAGGAGAACTCCGTCGTGATTGTCAGCCAATTTCTGCAACCGCATCACCCCGTCCATCTGGCCACCTAACTCCCCAGACTGCAAACCCCTAATAATTATTATGTATGGGGTGCAGTTGATCAAGAGACCAACAAAACTTCTTGTAAGACCAAAGATGAACTGAATGTAAGGATTATGGCCACATTCACCATGTCAAACCAGGAGACGGACAACAAGATGATGCAGGACATTGCGAAGTCATTTGGATGCCGTGATGGAAGCCAATGGCGATTTTATTCAATAAATTTAATCTTTAGTATTTCAACATATTTTTTGTAATGTTGGTAAATATATCGGTTAAAATGAAATGAAAATGTTATTTTCATTTTACGCAATTTATACAAGTTTTATCGCTCTCTCTCTCTATATATATATATATATATATATATATATATATATATATATATATATATATATAAAAGAAAGAACAGTAAGACATAAAAGAAATAGAGTCTATTAGCAATTAAGAGTAAAAATATTTTACAAATTATAGTTAAATAAAACGTATTCTAACCCTTTAAACATCTCTAGAAAGAATCTTTAAGTATATACAAGTAAGAAAAAAATGCCGAAAAACTTTTTGCCGTTAATAATAAAAAAAAAAACCCAGACGACATGAATTTAACGGATCTCAGAATTCGTTGAAAAATACACCCCTACCCTCCCTAAACTTAACCTCTTTTTCGAACGTAGCTCATAATTGATAAAACAATAGTTAAGAAAAATGAACACGCTACCTCCCCTGTCTGAATGATTGGATTTCTCTGTATCCTTGGAAACAGGAAATTATGAATTTATATGTGCGTTTAAAACTCAGTAAATTTAAAAATAAGTTATTCCAAAATTCGCTTGAAGATGAAACAGAACTAATGCTTTTAATTTAATTATATAATTAAATTTAAAGTTTTTAGCTTCCATTTTTGAAACATGGTTATTACTGTGCAGCGAAAAATATATATTTTAAATCAGTTAATTTATAATATGTGTGTGTGTGTGTGGGTTTTTTGGAAATCGCTAACGGGGAGAAGGGAAGAATCATTGCGAAGTTGGATATACTAGATTTAGTGTAGTATATGATTAACCTAATTTTTTTGCTAGAATCTGATGTAGATATTAGTACTTAATAATTTTTTAGTATATTTTCATCTTGTTTATAATTAGTATGCATCTGATTACGATATTAGAGATTAATATGTTTGAGATTAAATAAATAGACAAAACTTGTCTATATTATTTAATGAAACATGCATCAATGAAAAATTGCTGCCTAAATATACAGAATATATATATATATATATATATATATTGTGTAACGAATTATTAAGGTGGTGTCAATTTTCCATTTTGTCCAAAACCTACACGTTGAAATTTAACAATATTTTCAGAATATGATGGCAACAGTCATACGCGCGTAAAAAGTGTAAATTTCCTCAAAAAATACTGTACTGTACTGTACTGATGCGGCATTCACCCTGGGCGGATTGAGCCGGCTTCTTCCTGTTATGAGAAGAAGATTCTTGGGATAAATTACAGAAGTAGGGTACCCAGGCCTACTCGGATAACGTTCTTGCTTGCCGCGGGGTTCCCACAGACGCAGACACAGGAACGACCAGAAGCCGCTGGTTACCGATGCAGACGCTCCTTGGATTTTCACCAGAGCCCTTGTTAGCCGGCGTGTGTGTCAGACCTGTCCGCCTTGGGTGGCCCTACCAGGAACGGGCGGCATAGCTCTGACACTACCGTTTACACCCCCCACCGACTGTGAGGTAAGGGTTGGACTTTGGGGGCTTACAGTACCAGGTGTTCCCAAGCGGTCCCCCATCTAAGTACTGACCTGGCTCTACGATGCTTAACTTCAAAAAATACACAGAAGCTACGATCATTTAACTAATTTACTTAAATCAATGTTAGCCCGAGATTCATCCGTGAACAAAACCTTCGCGAAGTCGACGTTCTTTTTATCGTCTACCCATTTCGGAAGCTTTTATACGTGTCTCTTTTGTCAATGGAGGCGTTGTCAACGGTCTCCCGATCTTTTTCGGAAGACGACATCGAGTAGTTCTGGAGTTGTTTCTCCAGTTCGCCTGAAAAAAATTCTCTGCTGGCCAGGTAGGGATTATTTACAGCTTCACGTTTAATTCGCGATAGAGAAAGTTAGGAAACAAGCCTCGAGTGACGCTTATCGGCCTTCTTACGTGCTTGGTAGGAGCTGCAACGAAAGTTTTCACAGTTTGGTGATATCTTCCAATCGTTTTGGATATTTCTAATGTTCATTAACCTTTTGCAAGTCCAGATGTTCTAACAGACTTCTCAGAAGCGGTTAAATCGTAATTGCGACCCGTAATTGAACGATAATGAAGTCACTCGTTAATAATTTGGAACACTGAAGTATTGTGTTACTCATGCAAATGGCTGCGGTTTGTTTACATGTGCGCAGAACCTTACAGTTTTTACACAGCACGCGCATGTAACTGTTTCCATCATTCTGTGAAAATTTCGTTAAATTCCAACGTTTAGTTTTTGGACAAAATGGAAAATTGTCACCTTATTAATAATTCGTTACGCAGTGTATATACGGGCTAAATTTGACAGTTTTTAAAAGCGAAACAAAGTGAATATCGAGACCAAGAATCAATTTATTGGACAAATAGAAAAGTGGCATCCGGATTATAAGTATACTTTTAAGGTGCGCTATATTTCTGGATAAAAGAGATCAATTTCAGTGATAGAGCGTATATAAATATAAAAGTGGACACTGTAATCAACACCCACTCGCGACAATCTGTTTCATGCTTGAACTCATTATTCAGTCCAGGGTGCATTATGGGTAGCAAAATCTATTGTATTATCCTTACGTTTATTGGGTAGCGGCAACCGTTATGTTTCAAATTCTTCTAGAGGTTATTGAGTGGAAGTAATTGTAGATCCAGATGCAGTTATTTTTTTTATCTATTTTATAGTATTATATTGTGTTAATTTTTATTTTTAAACGTTATGCATTATTGGTAATTTTATAACGTGTTTTTGATCATTTATTTGTGTTGATCATTTATTCGTAGTTTGTTAATTTGTCCATTATTTGCTTAATATTTAATTATTTATAGATTTACTTTTTTTCTTTATTGCACTTATTTATTTTTAATTAATTTATTTTTCTTACTCGTTTTTAGTTTTCGATTTTTAAGTATAGTAGTCAACATTTGTTTTCATGACTGCGTTTTGAAATGATCGTTTATTTACTTACCTTTCTTTCTTTCTTTCTTTCTTTCTTTCTTTCTTTCTTTCTTTCTCCTTCATATATTCTTTCTTTCTTTCTCCTATGCAATTTTTTTCACTCTCTTCCCCGTATTCTTTATTTCTTTAATCTTTTTTACTTTCTTTCCTTCTTTTTTCTTTCTTTCTTCTTCATATTTTGTCTTGCTTTTTTCTATGAAACTTTTTCATTCCCCTTCAGGAATTGTTTTTTCTTTCTTTCTCTCTTTCTATGAATCTTTATCTTTTTTATTTTCGTATTCTCTCTTTATTTATTTATTTCCCCTTCACATATTCTTTCTTTCTGTTATGAATTCTTCTCATTCTCTTCCACGTATAGTTTCTTTCTTTCTTTCTTTCTTTCTTTCTTTCTTTCTTTCTCATATATTTTTTCTTTCTTCCTACTAAGAAATATTTCGCATTCTCTTCCACGTAGTCTTTCTTTCTTTCTTTCTTTCTCACATATTCTTTCTTTCTTACTTTCTTTCTTTCTTTCTTTCTTTCTTTCTTTCTTTCTTTCTTTCTACCATGAAATTCTTCGCATTGTCTTCGACGTATACTTTCTTTCTTTCTTTCTTTCTTTCTCATATATTTTTCTTTCTTCCTACTAAGAAATATTTCGCATTCTCTTCCACGTAGTCTTTCTTTCTTTCTTTCTCACATATTCTTTCTTTCTTTCTTTCTTTCTTTCTTTCTTTCTTTCTTTCTTTCTTTCTCTCTACCATGAAATTCTTCGCATTGTCTTCGACGTATTCTTTCTTTCTTTCTTTCTTTCTTTCTTTCTTTCTTTCTTTCTTTCTTTCCCCTTCACATATACGTGTCTTTAGTCCTTCTTAGTTCACGTATTTTTCTCTTTCACTTCCTCGTTTTCTTTCTGTTGCTTAATTTTTTTTTTCTATATTTTCAATTTTCTCAACATTTCTCTTGTTTTTTTTTTGTCCTTTTTCTTTTTCCTTTTCTTCTCTTTTCCTCCCGTTTCATTTTTCGCCTTTTTCTTTCCCCGCGAAAGACTCATTTAACTTATCTTCCTTCTTTCTTCCACGTTTCTCTAATAGCGTAATACAATCCATTAGTTCTTTTTTGCAACAAATCGTTCGAACATTTTCCCTTCTATCCACGTAACCAAGCAACAATCCGACAAACATAACAAACGTTCTAATATCAGTTCTTTTTGTTGTTGTTGTTGTTTTGCATGTGCCCACAACAAAAAAGGAGAAATAATTTGCCTTTCAAATTATCCGCACTGAAAATTTGGTTTTAAACCCACCGGCCAATTTATTGCTTCACGGAAATGCCACAGAAATCGGAAATATAAGCTACATTTTCTATTTCTTTTTTAATATTTATTAAGCCTAGCTTAGTAAGATAAGAGCCCACTGGTAATTCATAGAGAGTGATTGTCTAAAGAGACGTCCTCACTAAATAGACAAGACGTGGCTTAAATACGCTGCTGAAATACAAGTTCGAGCTTTTTTCGTGTCTTCAGTGAAAAATCCCAGACTTATTTGCATCTGCGATCATCATGATTTCCATTTAGTCTGCTCAATCCACTGCCTTTCGGATTTATGTTATATTTAGCTAATTTGTATTTGCAAATATCTATTTCTACTTGTCATGTTTTATGGGAACGTGACCGAGGGTTTAGAACGTTCGTTTTCTAACCATGAGACCCGGGTTGGAATCGAACCATGGTCGATTTGTCAGGATGGAGACTTCCTGCTGTTATTAGACTGGAGGGGTCGATTCTAGCGTCTGCCACCTTTGGAAAGTGCCTGTGAGTGAAATTGGCCAGACGGAACCCATACCCAGAAAAGAAAAGAAAAACTTATACGAACACAAGGAAAAATAAAATAAAATAATAGTTTTAAAAATAGCAAAGTAAACTTGTATCTGTTGCCTTGAAGTGACAACACCACATTGCAGTGAGATAAACGCCGTCAGGTTATCTTACCGACTGTTGCTATGACTGCAGTACATATCATAACCCTTTGAACTTCACAGGTAATGTGACGACGTCGCCCTTGACAATGATGTAATTAATTAATTCAAATTCAGTTTTAATATCTGTATCTCTTGTGTTTAAATAGATGAAATATTCGTTGTTAAAGTATTTTTCTGTACATTATTCGGACTATTGTCCTCATTTTGTCGCCATATTTATTACAACGTTTCGGCCGTTGTACGCTCCGGTCTTCTTCAGGTGGTTGAAATGCCGAACTGAACCCTTTATTTCGCTCAATGGGGTAGACTGTTCTAGTTCCATGTGCCATGTTTAATGGATGTCTGTTATCAGTTATCTCCTGTTAATTTCCCTCTGAAAGTTCTCCACTGCCTTAACCGGGTATTGCATGTGTGCTCACATCTATCTATCTTTGTCTGCTCATATCTATCTATCTATCTATCTATCTATCTATCTATCTATCTCGGCCTTCTCATATCTATCTATCTCTCTCTCTCTCTGCTCATATCTATCTATCTATCTATCTATCTATCTATCTATCTATCTATCTCAGCCTTCTCATATCTATCTCTCTCTCTCTGCTCATATCTATCTATCTCAGCCTTCTCATATCTATCTATCTATCTATCTATCTATCTATCTATCTATCTATCTCAGCCTTATCATATCTATCTATCTATCTATCTATCTATCTATCTATCTATCTATCTATCCCAGCCTCCAGCAGTACATACGCTAATTTTATGTCTCATGTATGATGCGACCCTCTTAAAATTAGCCTCAAAATTAGGTCTTCAAAAGTCGCATCGTGCGCGAGAATATACGGTATGTATTTTTAAGTTTTTCTCTGCTATTCATCCTGTTCTCTTTACAGCAAACTTAAGCATAAGCTTATGAAAAAATACACTTTTTCTTTTTTGTCGTTAATATTTGACTTTTGTTGTCCCGTAAATCCAGTAATGCACGCATCAACACAGAACTGAAATCCATTCCTGATTCATCAATGTTTGCTTTCTGGAATTTTTTTCGCTCATACCGCGCAGTTTATTCAAGTCGAATCTATTGTTGAGACATAAGCACACACTGAATTCAGTGAGTGTAAAACCATTGTTGCTGCTTGAGTAAGAAATCAATATTTTCTCTTCAAATAATCTTCAATATTACCTATCGGCATTCTCATGACTTTGATGATATTTTCCTCTCGGTTGACATTCTTTCAAACTTGGGTCAACAGTAAGCCATTTTCTATTCAAGAGTGTTTAAAAAGCCGTGCTATTGAAGGATAAGGCCGAAGCGTAGCGAAACCCCAAATCCACTACTGTACAATTACCGGCAAAGTAAAACTAATTTAATTTTTCTAATGAATATGCTCTCCGAATTTTCGAAAAAAAAAATGCCTTCTTTTTTAAATTCAGAGATTTTATTCATTAAAGTTAATATACCGTAATTCCCCATATATAATACGCATTTTTTTCTAAAAAAATAATAAGCAAAATTAGGGGTGCGTATTATGCATAGCTACAAAAAATATTTTAAAAATTGCCATTTCATAGGTCGATCTATTTTGCGAAATGACTATTCACCACAAACATACGAATATTCGACACTAACATTCGGCTATTGCGACCCCATAAGGATGCCAAATACGATTATATGTACCTAACAATACTTACAAATGTAAACCAAAATAAGAATTATCATAAAACTAAATTAGAATAATATTATTCTATGTTTAAAACCATTTTTTAAAAAAATAAGAGTAGCAAACGCTGGCCGTAATGAAATTGGAGAGGTACAATTTATAGGGTATGATTACCAAACAAGGGGTGCGTATTATGCGTGAGTAGAAGCATTTCCCCACACTTTCAGCACAATTTTAGAGGTGCGTATTATGGATGAAGGCGTATTATACATAGGGAATACATTATATTAACTGAACGTTACAGCAAATAACAATATTGTAGTCAAACAATGATTGAGAAGGAAATGTCGGAGGGGATTTAATTAGTATATCGAAGATTATTCATAGCTTACACATAAAACTAAATTTCGGTGTCAGAAGATTGAGAAGATTTTAGTATGGAGAAATGAGGAAAAGTAAAATCAAGGAACAATAATCAGGAAGACAGAAGATGGCGATTAAAGTTGGAAGGGAAGCAAGCAAACGGAAGGGAGTTCCACAGAGAGGAAGTGCGAGAAAAGAAGCTGTTAGAATAGGGCCTACGGCTGCACGTAGCTAATTCAACAGTAAAAGAGGGCTAGTTTCCAATCTAGTTCGCGCTTAAATTCATGTAATCGACATCTGTATATATCTCTGACATCTCGTCTAAAGCCACTTTCTCACAGACGTGTTGTGGCTTCCCTCTGTCTTTTCTACAAATAGTTTCATGGCAGCTGCTCAGAGGCGCTGCTTTCACTAGAAACCAGACTGCATGAATTTAAGCATGCTACTAGGTTGGCATCTCGGTCATACCCTTTCATTGTCGAAACAATTAAATGTAACCGCCTCTTCTATTCCAACAGCTTCTTATCTCGCACTTCCCGACAGTGGAACTCCCTTCCTCTTACTTGCTTCCCTGATGGCTATAATATTAAAATTTAATGTCAATTGACATATTCTAATGACCTGATCACCGTTCGTCTCTTTACCCTTTCCTCAAACACCCCTCTCTACTCTTGCTCTCTCTCTCTTTCTCTCTCTCTCTAAGCCCTTACGTTCTAGTGGCACTCCCGCCTTGCTCGGGGTGAAATGCTTAAAAAAGGATCTGAGATTAGGTATTATGAGTACTTGCATTAAACGGCCGAAACGTTGTGAATATGTGTCATACATGAACGTACCTATTCTATTATTAATAGACTCACCCACACACAATACGTAGTAGTAGTATCGGTCGCCAGTTGGGCTCAGTGGTGTTGAGTAAGTCAGTCGATGTCGGACATTGAAGTATCAACCATCACAACTAGATTGCTGCGTCATTAACTCTTATTTCAAGTTCCTAACGTTTTGTACGTCGGACCCTTTTTAGGACCGACTTAGCGAAATACCAGCCTCCTCTGTGAAAACTACTCTACAACAATATGGCAATGAAGATGAGTATAACAGTCCGAATAATGTAGATAATGCAAGTAATGATGATACCTCATCACAGAGATCCTATCACCTGAAGAAGCCGGAGTGTACAACGGCTGAAACGTCGTGAATATGGCTATGAAGATGAGGGCAAGAGCCCGAATAATGTAAATAATGCAAATAATCATGTAGTCGCAAGACTAAGTAGGAAAGCTCTTCAGAACAGTTGCTATGAAGATATTTCTAGTAAAAGACAGGGAAAATACGGCATATCGCTGAAAATCTGACTGAGTTCGAGATGCCATGTCATGATCGATGACATGTCCGAAACATTCTGAATTCTTTGGATGTCCAAATGGGTTGCTAATATTCGATCTTTTGAAATATTCTCATATTCTTATTTTTCGCTTGAAATTTTGAATTGAGCTGTTACTACACTATTTACATTATTCGGACTATTGTGCTCATCTTTGTCGCCATATTTATTACAACGTTTCGGCCTTTCAGTATATGTCTATATTCCTGAGATGAGGTATTGTGTACACTATTTACATTATTCGGACTATTGTCCTCATCTTTGTTGCCATATTTATTACAACGTTTCGGCCTTTCAGTATATGTCTTTATTCCTGAGATGAGGTATTGTGTACACTATTTACATTATTCGGACTATTGTCCTCATCTTTGTTGCCATATTTATTACAACGTTTCGGCCTTTCAGTATATGTCTTTATTCCTGAGATGAGGTATTGTGTACACTATTTACATTATTCGGACTATTGTCCTCATCTTTGTCTCCATATTTAT